CTTCATGACATCATCTCAACACTTAGATGCTGCCATCTCAACACTCTTCCGATTGGCCGATTCAAATGTAGCCGCTGCGGAACCATTCATCTCGTCTTCAAGGGCAGTCATCGGTCTCTCATCAAGCCGAGCGAGGGGCTCCGATTACGGGGTCAGATAAAACCCGCCGCATACGCGCTGGTGGGACCAACTGGTTGAAATCTGTCGCACGCTTGATTGGCTAAGAGTCATTTCACTCGACTGGCCTCTCCAGAGGCTCTGCGAGCAACGACCATCCGTCAAACGACCTCTGACCCCTTGCAAGGAGCTAGGGTATGTTTCCAATGACACCTTATTTCCTCATTTCCTATGGCATGCTCTTACTCTGACAAACGGAGAAGTGATTCCACTCGGAGAGCGGCTGATTGAGCCGTTTGGGGTACAGTGACTCTCTTCTGTTCTAGGGATGTAGATCTCAGTTTCATGGTACAGGAAGTAGGGCAGCATGGTTCAGGGGCTCCGCAGAAACCCCAAGTTTGTGCTCTGCCAAGCGAAGTCCCCCAGACTGAGCCAGGGCCCCACCACTGTCTACCCTCCTGTCTGCACCAGGCGCATGGAGCCAGAGGCCAGTTTTATATTGAAATCATATGGAGGTGGGAAGGTTTCAACAACGACCCCCTGCAACTTCCCTCGCCGCCACATGTTTCCCATTTTAATCTAATTATAAATATTTGGACTGGAGTCAGTTGGAACTGACAGAAAGAAAAAAGTCAAGCTGGAATAAACAATGCAAGTACAAAAGGAAAATAAGAAAGCAAACATGCATTTTGGGCTCATATTAATGACTAAAACAGAGCTGTTGAAATTTTCCTCCTCTGACCACTGAACCATTTTTGAGCCGAAAGAAAAAAAAAATCCAAGGCAGCAACAAGGTCTCTGTTCTCTCATTGAGGGGCGGGACCGTTTTAATAATGTGGGCAAATGGTGGGTGGTTGCGCTCATGGGACGGGTTCAGAAGAGGTTACACCTTAGTTGCTCCAGCGGGACGGGTACCCACTGACCCCTGGAATATGCGAGTGAATGCCAAACTCTGTTTCGCAGTTTTCCATGGAATTGCACCATCCAAACGTTTAGTAATGTCTAAGGTCGTCTAATAGAGGTGACAACAATGGAGTCTTCATTACTTTTCTGCTCTGACATCATGCTGTGTTGTACGCGATTTGGTAGATTTGACCAGTTTTGGAAGGTTGGAAACAACTGTTTTCGCTTACAAGGACATCTCCCATCTGGGTCTGGTCCTTCCAGTTGCAGAGGAAACGAAATGATACAGTCAAGTTTGTGGTGGACATCACTCTTTCCCCACTTCTTGCAGATGTCTAGGCTAAAACTGAGAAACAAACTTTTTCAAAAGGAATTCAAACAAACAAGTTACTCCAAAGGGTTTGATGATCTGTCAAGTCCTTCTGACATTTGAAGCTCAGCTCATCTTGACATTTACCTGAAAGCAGAGCTTACAAATATTCTGTTAGCGTAACTGTGAGAGTTCTGAAATTTTCAAGCTCCCTCACTCTTGGGGGTCAATTTCCAGAACTCCAGAGCTCTGAAAAAACCACACGCATCATCACACAATGACACTGCGATGATGGAAGAGGACAAGAAAAGCAGACACGCATCAATTATCAACAAACAACCGCCAGCCGCAGGAGAAAATGTGAACCCCTAAAGAACAACAACAACAACACAAAACAGAGTCAAGGGCCAGAGAGCATCTGTAAATACACCTAGTGATGCACCACACAGTCAGATTAAAACGGACTGCATTTCATCATAGCCGACAGCGATTTCAGGGTTGCGGTGGGTTATCGTGCCAAACGCTGAGCAATTAAATAGGCCTCGACCACCCACAATTCGACATGAAGGAGATCAGAGTCATGTTGAGATTATTACCCTCTAATCATGCACTTGTACGTACGACTGCTGTTCCCCCTACCTTGCCCTGAGAACACGGTTCGGAGAACACGGCTGCCCTTTATGTGAGCCTTAATACATTCAGGGGCCTGGGGGTCTTGATCTGCCCCGCTAAATGCCATTACAAGTTTTACATGGTCATATGATACACAAAGAGCGACTTTAATGTTACGGTTACAAGTAGGTTTGCCACAGTGGGTGTAGTGGATCTGAATTCTTCCTCAAAATGTTGGGCGAACAGCTTAGGGGTTCACATATTAAGAACTGCGAATGAAGCAAAAACATTAGCGAAAGGGGCCCATTAGTTGCCTGAAATAGGACACAGTGTACGTGGGCAGCTGTTCAGATTAAAAAACCTCCCTTCACACTGCCGAGACACTCGGCTCACAGCACACACAATTCCACTCTGTTCTCCAGCGCTCTGCTACGCCTAATTGCTCTCGCAGTATATGCGCTTTAACGCATGCAACTGTTCATGCGTCGGACGTGTTATCTGCAGGCTGCATCGACAGGGAGCAACCTGCAAATTAATTACAGTCAAAACGCCACATGGCATTTAGCATCACCACGGGCATAGCGCGAACGGTTGCGCATGTGTCCTATGGATTAAACATGTGCAGATCATATGTATTCCACAGTCTATCTGTTTCCTCAAAACCATCCATCAAAGCTGTCAGTGTGGAGGCAAATATGAGAATGTTGTTGTTTTTTTGGAGGGAAAAGACAGGAAAAGACCACAGCAGTCAAAAGGCAGACGGGTCGATTTGTTCCTTGGCTGTGTGTGTAAAATAATAAAGGTGGAGGGAAGAACTCAACTGTCTGCGTGACAGAAATCCTGAATAGATGTTCGACAAGGGATGGGAAAGGATACGCCAGTTCAATAGATGCTCGAGTCATTTATAAAAATCAATTTAAAGGGCTTAAGCTACATTGATTTATTCATAAAAACACTATATAAAGCAGGTTTTGTTTCAGGACCTGTCATAGGACCAAAACGGTTCATCAACCAAAGCTAAAATGTCCTTAAAAATCGAACATTTAAATGCTATATATTGCCATCGGCCTGACAATTTGTACATTTATCAACATAGCAGTAGATGACAAATATGCAAATTTTGCAAAAACAAAACCCAGGTTTGTTCGGATTTGGTCCTGAACAGCAAGAAAAAATAATTTAATAATCAATAAAAAACAAACTTGTGCAATAACACTTTTAAAAATAAAGCCCAGGAACAAATCAGAACAGACCTAGGCTGTGACCAATTTTTAGGTAGTGGCCAACGAGTTGAAAAAATCATTAATATATACACATCAAAATCACAAAAACAATTAAATCACAAAACGTGAAAACAAAGAGAGGGAAATAAAGTATGAAAGGATGAACTGGAAAGTGGAAAGACAGTTAACACATGATGAAATACAGAAGAAGAGCATCATTCCCCATTTATACATTTCTCACCCTTCTGAACAAAATGGCTGGGAGAGGGCACATGATTGGCTATGCCCAAATGCCCTCCTCATCGTCCTATTGGTGGAAAATGAGTGCAGGTTTAATCCAAGGCAGCATGGGATTAAAGAAAGAAGTTATTAGTGGGTGAGAGCAGGTCATGTATTGCACTGAAAATGCATGCCCATTGTCAAACACTCAGTGAGGATCAGTCTACACTATTTTACATGTTGAATGAATGTCTCAATCTTTTTGATGACGCCACTATGCCATTAATTTCTCCATCTCTCAACAGAGATTAAGGGTGATTAGTTAGCCATTTAACTGAACCCCCCCTTCCCCTTCTCAAAAAAAAAGGCAGCTATGCTCCAACAGGAACTGAAACCATAGCAGTATGAGCTCAAAATGAGTAACACACATGGCCTCTACCCCATCTTTCCTGGATGGCTGTGGAAAATACCTGCCGTCTGAGGTCCCTGTCGGTCCCAGCTCTGCAGTCGGCATGTTTAGGTGATAACAGTGCGATTGGGGAGGTTTGGAATGGGCTCAGGTGTTGATGTGTGAGGGTGTTCATATTTGAATTGGAAATATGTAAGTGAGAAATGAAGATCACAGGAAAATGTGAGCTAAGTGTTTTCTTGGCAATTGGGAAAGACAATGAAAAGGGTTTGTAATGGGGGAGAGACCCTGGGATAGCTTTATAGCCAATTTCTGTGTGTGCGTGGGAGATTGAGTGTGCATCTGTGTGTAGACGTAGATCCAATTGGCTCCGGCAGTGCACGCATACGTGGTTGGGAATACCGTGTTGTGTTGTGTTGTGTTGTTGATTGATAGGTTTCTTTCAGCATGTGAATTAGGATGTAGCACTTGAACTAGATTACTTCAGGAGTCCATGGACAGGTATGACACACTGCGTTTAGCGCATCAAGTCATGTCATAACAACCAGTCGGATTTGTGCTTCCTGGGAGAGCTGGGACTGAAGAATGCAACAGGCTGTCCTTTCTCTTTGAATTTCACTCTCTATTCATCCTTTATCATGTCAATTCTTTCCTCTTTCTCTCCTTATGAACTAATTCCTGTTGGACAGCCATCCAGAGGAGAGAGGCTTAAGGCGAAAGGAATTCAACGTTTTAAAGCAACAAAGAACAAAGCCAGTTAAATCTTCCAGAATCATCCTGTGTGCCTGAACTCTTCCAAGAAAAACACTCAGGGATGTGTGTGCCCGCACATTCATGAATGAGAAAACGTGAGCTTTTTCATGGTGACCCTATGTGAAATAATACACACATTGGAGCTGAGGATGCAGTGCCTTATTAAACATGAAATATGTAATTTCCTGTTGTTTTTGTTTGGTTATAATTGCCTTTTTTATAAATCAGGATAGGGCCTTTAGGGAGAAATCAGATATCAGTGAGAGAGAGGCTTTGAGAAATACATATTTTTAACATTCATTCTAAAAATTTGAAATAATAATAATAAAAAAAAAACCAACAACATTTAAACATATAAATCACAGACCCCAAGTATAATCAATAGTAAAAGTAAACCTAATTGAGTTAGTAAAGGTTAAAAAAAGATGGTGCACTCATGCTCTGATTGGCTCACCTGATCTGGAGAGGGTTTATGATTGGTCTGGTCAGATTTGGAGGCCTTGAGGTGGTCATCCTCGTAGTTATCAGCCATTAACTTCATGCGGTTCTGAGTCTGTGAAAGACAAAGCTCATTGTTAACAACTGCCAAAACACACACGTACATTATTTAGAAATGAACCCGTTCTGACTCTAAGCCTGGTAGTCTTGCGGCTTGAGTTATCAAATCTCCATCTCAGCTCATGCTGTTACGAGTGGAAATTTTATCTGTATGAATTCAATTACAAGCATTATAAGAAGTGATTCTGATATTCCTTTTGATAGACAGAGTATTACTTCGAGCCCTACAGCGAGAGGGGGATCACAGAGTATTCACGCAAGTTTCAGCTGGAATGGATTTGAGTGAGGAGGAAAAAAGCGAGCGACGGAGATCTTTTAAACCCAGAGGAGAAGGGTGTGAAAAAGCAATAACAGAGACGGTGAGAGAAGATCCGAGATGTAGAGAATAGAGAACAAAACACCAGTTTCTCTCAAATATAAACACATACGCACAGCACACTCACCTCCCTGCTTGATCCAGGAGAGATTCAAGCCTCAACTTGCTCAAACCAAGTACAGTTTTAACAAGCGCCCCAAGGTTTCCATGTCTGCTCACTTCTTAGATTAGAAATGCACTAATTTATTGGAGATGAGGTTGAGCGTACAGGCTCTGACACATTGAGCTGTGGAACTCACGTGGACGACATAAGTTTGATTCCCGCATGCAACACTAACAGACAATACCTTTAAAGTTTGTATTAACCAATTGGTACAATTTACCAATTAAAAAAAGTTTGCCAACAAATAAAAATCTGGCATCATTTTCCAAATTCGGAGAGTAACACGTGATTACGAGACATGCACCAACCAACTTCATCACTGATCTTCTCACAACCGAATATTTGCAAAATGTGAATGACATTTGGGACAGATGGCAAATCAGTCACTTTTGCTATCTTACTCCCACAAAATCAAACACATGGCTTCAAATCACTTGGAATTTAGCACGCAAGTTGTTTGGATCACTTTTAAATGTGTATGGTAGTTAATATTTTGGAAGTTGCCAAGGAAGCAGTTGTTTTTTAAAAACTTTGCTATGCAGTTGCTAGGGTATTCAGAGTGGCTTTTAACACATTGCTATGTGGTCTCAATTTTGCTTCCATTGAATGCAAAAGAGCAGCGTAAACATTTTTCAAAATTTACATTAGAAATAAACATTAGGAACATTATGTCAATTATGACAAAAGAACTACACCCAAACTGAGTTATCGGGCATCATCCCCAGTTTTTGTTAAATAAATCTATTGCAGAAATAAAGAAAAATGAACATGATTACTTTTGGGAAGCCGACCATCACAACTGACTCCACCACCACACGGCAAAGAGAATAAGCCATGAAATGTATCAATAAGACATTATATTCGAATGAGAGTGGACCCACACCCTGGCCTTCCGGATTCTTCAGCTTGTTTCCCGGCTGCTCCCTGACCAGAATGTGATGGTTGGGCTCCTTCTGTTTGGTTTTCTCACCCTCTTCCCTCCATCTCCCGCACCCCCAGTTTTTCTCTCCCATCTTCCTCCTCTGTTACAGTAATAAACATAACGTTAACCGACCACCGGGCAGCCGTGTGTGAACGTCTGGGTCAGAATTATGTCAACGCAAGTAACCTGGATGAGAAAAACTGTCTTAAAGGGACAGTTCACCCTAAAATAAAAACGATGTCATCATTTATTTCCCCTCATGTTGTTCCAAACCTGTATGACTTTATGTGGAACGAAAAATATATATTTTTTAAAAAATGCCTGTTTTTTTTTCTCCATCAGAGTACACAGATTTATTACTTGAGTAAAAGTATAGATACCCCTAGCTAAACTTTACTCAAGTGCAAGTAATAGTACTTCAATCAGATGTCTACTTAAGTAAAAGTACTGAAGTACTTGTTTTTAGAAGTCCTAGAATATCAAGAGTACATTTTCTAAATATTGCATTACTACTGCCACAGTGCTTACATTTATGGACAGAAATGTCCACATTGGAGTTATGAAAAATGTTAATGTTAATACCTTGGAGAATGTAAAAGAAATTGAAAGTAAAATCAAGTAATTTTCATCTTTTTACAATGTTGCTTTATTTAACAATTTAAGAAAATTGAAATAGTCTGGCGAGGTAGGGCACATTCCCAGGATGGACCTGTTGCGTCTTCATCCATTGTTTCCTCCATGGTTTCGTCTCTTATCTAAATCTTTGGTGGAAAGCTGAAGGTGATTGCTGTCCCAATCAGTGGCGCCTGTAAAATCCAATCACGTTTGAGAGGGAAACAACAAATTGAGGGTTTCCGAGATTTTTCCTTTTTCAATTTTTTTTTTTTTAAGAAGTAGTAACGGGCACTAACGGTTATGGATAGAAATGTAGTGGAGTAAAGAGTACAATATTTCCCTACTCGAGTAAAGTACAGATCCCTCAAAATTGAACTAAAGTACTGTACTCAAGTAAATGTACTCCGATACTGTCCGGCTCTGTTCTCCATACAATTAAAGTCTAAGGGGTACAATGTTATTTTGGACCAAATTGACTAAATAAATGGACAAAAACAGTTTTTAAAAAACCTTCTGTGCTCCTATAGGTTCGGAAACATGCGGTAAAAAGATACCCACAAGGCACGATGTGTAGTAGTTCTTGTGTAGGCACGACTCGTTCTATACCTGTTAACAAGCCACTTAGTCAGAGGTTAAATAGAAATGTTGAACAAACAACCTGAGCAGCATTCAGACACTCTGTACTCAACAACCTCTCAGTTTTTCGCAGAAGGCAGCAGTCTACATGGAGGAGATGGCCGGAGGCCGAGATGCAGAGAGGGGAAGCCATTATAGCCCCAGGAAGAAAAAAAAAAACGCAACATTTTAGATCAACTGTCACTACCTCACGAGGAGGAAAATACCCCATTTGAGACAATTTGTTCCACATGCTCAGCGGGTTAGTGCGAAGGATTCGGGTGAGGGTTCGGGAAGTCAGGCTTAAGCTCTCCGGCTTTTAAATCCTGGTAAGTTATCAAGATAGAGAGGGAAAAATTATTCAGCCAACGTCGCTAACATTAGGCACGGATTTCCCAGCATGAACATGCATCGTTTATTTCCTCTCCTGAAAAAAAAAAAATCGGAAAAAAGAAATGTGTCCTTAAAAAATAAACATTAAAAACAAACATTTTGCCTTGAAGCTGTAAGATTTCAGGGTTCTGGGCCACAGAGCACCTACAGATGACTATGGCCACTGGAGAGAGAAACTCATTTGCAAAGCTAAAGCGAGAACTAGAGAAAGGGGGAGGAGGTATTTGCTTATTTGCCGGCTCACGAGTGAAGTGGTTTTCGATACCGACCGAGTTTAGTGGGGCGCAGGGACTCATAAAATGTTTATTGAACTGCACTGGGGAAATCTTTGCTCATAAGTCTGTACAATCGAACAAGTGTGTGTATATGTGCACTGGGGCGCAATCTTGTTTCTGACATTGTGACTAATTCAAGTGTAAAGGAACAGTTCACCAAAAACATTTACTCACCCTCATGGCATTCTAAACCTGCATGACTTCCTTTCTTCTGCAGAATGCAAAAGAATATAGTTTGAGGATTGTTTGCCCATACACAAAGTCAATGGGGTCCAAAACAACATTGGAGCACCGCCCCCTTCCTCTTTTGTGTTCCTTTGAAAAAAGAAAGTCATGCAAGTTTGGAACAACTTGAGCGTGGTTACATTTTTTTTTGTCCAACTATGCCATTCAATTTCAGTCTTTTTCTCAAACAAAGTTAGTGAATTATTTCAGGAGCCTTGTAAAATGGTGAAAAGGACGTTTGAGGTGCTGTTTTAAGCTTGAAAGCAGCGAGAAAATTCTTCAAAACATCTACTTTTGGGTTCCGCAGTAAGAAAAAAAGCGTATCATTTTTCATTCAGTCAAACTGAGGAACCTTCCCAGGGTTAATAAAATGATATATGAGGCAATACTGCAAATCTGCCATAATTTTCCTAAAAACATGCCAGAGTTACTTAAACATCACTTTACAGAGTTCCCTCCGCCTCCCCTTAAGGCTGACCCCCTCTAATTTACTAAGAATGAAAACACAGAGATGATTTTCAAAAACGTTCAAGCTCACATCTCTGTTTTGAAAACAGGTGAGGGGTGTTATACAGTTGCCACTCTCCAAGCGGAAGAGGCCCTCCGCCAGGAGATAAAACTCGCTCCGGAGGGGAGAACTAGAGAGGCAGAAGAGACAAATTGCTACAAATGTCCATGTGTGGCCTTCGAACCTTGTCCATGATCTAGCCAATGACATCATGTACCCTACATTAGCAGGAACCCGTAAACCTCCTGGATTTACTTTGGCAGAACATCCAATCGTCACACAATCCGCAGACGTTCCTTCAAAAACACGGACAATGGAGGGAGGAATCTCAGAGATGTCGAGGGGGTCCGCAGGGAGGTGTTTGTGTATGTACGTGAGGAAAGAGGGAGGTGAGGGTGAGCGCTCGTGGAAACCGGATCTCCTCAAAGGGCCAGAGGGGTTCTGAAGAGCCGATCCCAGATGGCTACAGAACAGGGAGGCACACTCCGAACTTAACAGCTCATATGTGAGCCATAAAGCAAAGAAGAAAGAAAAGGTGGCCGGCGCTGGAAGAGAGGAGAGATGTCGGTGGAGAAATGGGATCGAGTTAGAGAGGTTGAATTGGAATGGAGGAGACTGGGCACGGGGCAGAAAGGGGAGGTTGGGAAGGAACATAAAATGGGAGAACGAAATGTTCGAGCTAGCAGGCTAACAAGCAGACGCATAAGCGAGACCCTGTTAAGAAGCCCTCCCTAATTGTAGGAGCCCCTTACATCCATGTGTAATAAAATTTACCATGAAACCAGATCCCTGTCTGAGTGGCTTATGGCAAAGGAACGCTTGTGTGTGTGTGTGTGTGTGTGTTCGGGGTTCAGGAATCCAGCACTTGGGGCTCTGCATCTCTGCTTTCCCCCTTGTTCCAAGACCTCACTTTCCTCAAAATTCCTTCAGCTACAGGCAATGATATGGACTTGATAAAGCTGA